TCCAATGTGTCTCGATTACGGATCATAGTGCGCGCGGTCTCACACAATGCACCATGGTCTCAAATTGGCTTTTCCCTTTTTTCTCTGGGCTTTCTAAGGGCGTCATGCTACGTAGAAAAGCGACACGCTATCACGGCTGGACTAGTGAGAGAGAGACATACGACGGGCAAAAGCAATAGAGGAGGACTCGTATAGAAGCGAGAGACACAAACCAACAGAAGCACTACGATTATTACAGCTATTGATAATAATAATAATAATAATAATAATAATAATAATAATAATAATAGTTGTTGTTGTTAATTAATGTTCCACGATGCATGCCTCCCTTCTATCACACCTTTACACGATACCGATTATTGATGATACTTATCTTTTCGATGTTGCTACATTTTTTCGTATATATATATATATGTGACAGCAATCTCCAAATTATAATATATCCAAATGACTGTGTACGAATAGTAAGAATTGGCAAGATAACACGCCGAGTTAGTTGCAAGTTTTCAATTGGCGGTCTTAATTGCTAGAATTGCACGTGAGATTCGCACAATGCGCGCCCTTTGTACTTAACTGTGGTCGACCAACCGTTAAATGACAAATGAACTTTCTAATCGAGCGATTAGAACTGCACTGCGGCCGAGCCGGGCAAACGTCGATTAGTCGTGCTGAATTAGTCAAGGCAACTCATACCAAAGTATATACTGACATATATACAAATATATATATATGTACATGGTATGTACGTGATAAATACTCTTCCTCGAGTAGAGGATCTCAGAGATTTAAGATATAAAAGACATTTGGTTCATGCAAAGGAGGAAATGTGTCTCGATAAAAACTCGTCGAATCTACCGTGTGACATCGCTCCGATTTTCAATGCTAGTTTAGTTTACACAAGGGCACAAGACGAGACGAGACATACAACGTATAGAGAGTGTGCTCTTCGAGACATTCGTTGTCAGTCTCGAAGGTCGTTCAAGGAGATTTTATTCTCTCCAGTCGTGTTAGTTTCTCTCTTTTTTGTTTTCTTTCTTTTCGTTTAGGTCGAACACGATGGGTAGTTTTCATCGCTGATGCCAACGCGTCGCACAATGCAAGAAAGCAAGAAAAATATCCACACCACTTTCCCCGTCTTACGTCGTTCTCCCCTGATTTATGCGTGCAATAAATGGCTGGTTTTAGTCGTTCGCAACACCTAGACGTTCTTTATTACTGAGAGTAAGTAGTTGAAAATTTCAAGCCGGCGAGAACTACGAGAAAGAAAGAAAGAAAGAAAGAAAAAAAAAAAAGGAAAAGAAGAAAAAGAACGTAGTAAAGGAAAAAAAAAA